CTTCCATGCCTGTTGCAGTGTTTGCAAAAACTAATAACACGCTCAGTAAAAGGAATTATTATTGTACAACAGGAAGGGGGAGATGTGGGCCTCAGCAGGGCCCCCAGCGCGGTGCAATTGATGGGGAAGGATGTGTTGGAACTTGTGGGCCATAAACCCTGGGAAGAAGGGAGATAGTGCCGAGCCGTCCTGAAGGAGGAAGCAGGGCCTTAGATAAGAAAAGAATGTGTCTGCATGGCCTTAGTTTAGATAAACTTAGGAAAAGAATGTGTCTGTGTTAGCAACTGTGTTAACCAATCAATAGGTACCTAGTTTGAAACTTAACCAATCAGTTTAAAACACGCTGCCTTTTGATCTGTATAAATGTATGTGTGTAAGGACAATAAAAGGTACATCCTGCTTGCATCAAGCGGTGTCCCGTCTCTCAATCGCGGCAAGCTGCAGCCAAGAAAAATTTATACGCTGAAAAAATATTATTTGTTACTACTGACATGCTTTCTAGCAGCGCAAGATCTTTCAGAGACGGGAAGGAAGGGAAAAAACAGGCAGGTTCACAGCTAGCTTTTTCAGCTCTAACCCAAAAGTTTGAGTTGGACTGCTTAAAGAAGACAGAAGATCAGTATAAAGATTAAGAATAGGGCACAGAAATAGTCTGAGAGTAGTCAAGGGAGATCGCCATAAAAATATTTGAAAAACCCCAAATAATTCAAGGGACCAACTTACTGCAGTGTGAAAGACTACAAAAATAACAAAGAAAGAAGAAAAAAAAAAGGAACAAAATTCTGAGATGTTAATAACAAAGCAACTAAGAAGTCAGTGAGCAAGGAGAGAACTCTCTGGGAGAACAGTAACACCACCAAAAGCAAGAGGAAGCATGACCTGGAGGAAAGGGTAACAGGCCAAATGCTGACCCAGGTCAGAGAAGAAACGTTGCATACTGCACGCACAGGCCTCATGAACGGTCTGCTTCGAACACAGCGACCCAAGCAACACCGAAACTCGGACTCATGGCCGACTTACAAGCAGCTGCAGGAAATAAAGCGGGGTGCAGGCCGGGGCAGGGCAGCTCCACTTCCCGCTCCGATCCGACCCCAGCTCTCAGCCCCTGAGGGAAAAGTGACCCAAACCACGCGACTCCCGCAGCCGGTGATCCCCTCCCCTTGGCCCCACACCTCCCGCCCCAGGACCGGCCCCGCTCCTCGGCCTCCATGGCGGCCCCCCC